AAACGATGAGTTCAGGCATTAAACGAAGGCAGTAACGGGTAGTTGTCATTAAAAAGGAGATTCATCAGGCTAATTAATCATTTACCTTCGGGACATTTTGTCCAGGGTTCCTTTCCTGCAGGGAATGTTTGCGGAGGCGAGCTGGAGTGCTGAAGACTGTTCAACTCGTTTGAGATGATTCTAGCCACAGAAACCGACTTACTGTAGTCTGAATGATAGAAATAAATCTGCATGTTCTACTGCATAGCTAACCAAAAGTTCTTTGAGTAATACACAGACCCAAGGTACCTATCGGGCAAAAGTTTGACACAAATTAAGCCAGTGAAGGATGACAGTGGAAAGTCACTCACCAAAGAAGTGAAGCAAAGCAAACACTGGGCTGAACACTTCAGAGGACTCCTAAATTGACCACCACCTACAACGCGCCCAACAATACCAACAATGGAAGCAGAATTACCAGTGAACATCAACCCCCCGATGAGAACAGAAGTCCTGGAGGCAATCAAGATGCTGAAAGCTGGAAAAGCAGCAGGACCAGATGAAATCCCAGCAGAAGCATTGAAAACGGACCCAGAGACAACAGCGGACTTGATGACGCCACTACTGGAGAAGGTGTGGAAAGAAGGCGAAGTACCTGAAGATTCGAAGAAAGGATACTTGTTCAAACTACTAAAGAAAGGAGACCTAAGTCAATGCAAGAACTGGCGCAGAATTATGCTCCTGTCCACCCCAAGCAAAATACTAAACCGCATCATCCTGGAGAGAATCAAACATGCCCAGGATGAAAAACTTCGACCGGAACAGGCTGGAATTAGGAGAAACAAGTCATGCATTGATCAAATCGCCACATTACGGATCATCATTGAACAAAACTTGGAGGATCTGGACTTCGCCGATGATATGTCTGATTTCCCACAAACTGGAACATATGCAGATGAAAAGCAACAAGTTGACACAAGAAGCATCCGGAGAAGATAGGACTTCAGGTGAACATTGAGAAAACAGAGGTGATGAAGATTCGTGGGCAACATCACCACCACCACCAACAACAACAGACAACAACCAGCATACATGGGAGGAACCTGAAAGAAACAACCTCCTTTACCTACCGACCTACCTATCTGGGAAGCGCACTGAACTGACGAGGATATCAAAGCAAGAATCGGAAAAGCAAGACAAGCTTTCACTACTCTCAAGTCTGTGTGCAGGAGGTCAACAGCCCTACTCAGCATCAAAACGAAGATGAGATCCGGATTTTCAACTCCAATGTGAAGTCAGTCAGTGCTACTCACTATACGGATGGATCAGAGACTTGCACTGCGCGTCATAAAGAGCATCTCAAACAAACTACAGACCTTCATTAACAGCTAGTTGTCTTCTCTCAATACCACTGAAGATCAGATGGCCGGCCAGAAGAGATCAGCAACAGAGAGGGATCTCTGGCAATGAGCGAACCAACTCAGCAGGAACCAATTGTGAAACAAATAGGCAGGCAGGAAGAAATGGAGATGGATTGGCTGGGGTCATACTCTGAGGAAACAAACCATCAAGTGAGTGACATCACTAGACAAGCCATTGCTCGAGTGGAACCTGACTGAATGGGAAGCGGCGAGTTGGTGGTGAGTGCGAGGGTGGGTGACTTGGAGGAGGTGATGTGAAGAGGAGATGAAAGCGTGTTGGCAGACTTGGAGTTAGGTGAAGACTCTAGCAGAAAACCACAGGCAATGGAGAGTTACGGCTGAAGCCCTATGTTACTCTAGGAATTAAAGGAAACAACAATAATAATAATAAGGTGCCTCAACAACAACAGCATAAAGGCACTTATTCCCTTTAATATCTGTATTACTGTTTAGCATTGATAACATATCGAAACTCGAAATTTCCACATTAATGTCGTTCGTTACACGGCTGTAGAGATCCAGTAGATTTTCAGATGCAAAACAAGTAATCTACGACAAGACTTTTTCACCAAAATTAACCATAAGAAATACCTGAGCAACAAGTAGAGCATTCCCAACAAAGTGGGATGAAAGCCCTATCACCGAGAATTATATATCAGCATTTCCGGTAGAAATTCTACAGTTAATTTTCCTCACGGCAAAACTTCACATTATACAAATAAAATCACAGTCGCAAGATAACGCATTATTGACACCATCATACAGCCGCAGAGACAAACATTTATATTAGGAATTACACTGGAACAAAAACAATTAATAAGAATTAAGTCAACAGGTGACATATAAACTTTAGAACAATGAAATTCAGCCTAAGGGAAAGGAGGATAATAATTACAAAGTTGGCTGAGGTATCCAAATATATATCAGTATTGTGGATAAGTCGTTCAGGAGAGATTTTCAACACAATTACTCCGTTACATTGACTATTCCATCATTCTTTACAATAACTAGCTTGTTGTTTATTAATGAGAAGTATCTTTGAGAAAAAAATTTTCAAAAGAATGGACACGGAACAAAGAGTACTCCTTTTGATTAAATTCATCATCAGGTTCTACAGTTATTTATACATTATAGTGAATGAATGAATGAATTAGTCTTATGAACGATA